GAAAGTCTGAGTGTATACAGAAACAGGTCACATCAGTTCTTGATGCTGACTTGTAGCTGACAGCCTGAGAGCAAATGTGCTGCCACTTTTTTGTTCAACTTAAGGAAGCTTAGATGTAGTCTCTGAACGGGGTATCTTTGGCCACGGTGTGAGGGAGAGCCAGGGGGATGAGGGAGATGAAGCGCTGTATTTCATGGACCACTGCGTCTGTGTAGGGCATCTGGGGCCGGTCAGCCACGCAAGGTTTTCGTGATCGTCCTACTACCTGGTCAATCTCTTCTTGAACTTTCTCTGTCAAGAGAGGCACAAACCATAAAATGGGTAAATAAACCCCAAAATATCGAAATATATTGCCCATCACAAATGGCAGGACCATGGATGTTGCTTTTGGTGATAACTAGAATACAGCTTCTGTGCTGCCCATGCCAAGAGAGTCCTAGTTACTTGAATAAATAGGAGTACTGGGAGATGAAATGTGGACACATTCAGATCCCAGGCTGTGAGGAGGCTGCAGCTGATGATGATGCCAGTGAAGCAGAGGGATCTCTTTTGGCCATTCCGGAAAATGACAATGCAAGGACTTCACCCATTGGGCTAAAATACGAGAGAGAGAGAGAAAGAGAGCGAGAGGGAAAGCAGACAGAAGGATGTGGTGTTAGGCATGCACATAGCCCAGGGGAATAGCTAGAGAGGAAGAGGTCACAGACTGGTACCTTGTATCTTTGGGTATTTGAGAAGAAGCAGAAGCCCATATCGTACGGTGGTGCTAGTTGTCTCAGTTCCAGCGAAGAACAAGTCGAAGGTGCACGTTATAAGGTTCTTCATGTGGAAACTGGAATTGGGATGATCTTTCTCCTAGGGAAAAGGATGGGTTGTTTCTCTGGCTGAGCTGAGAAAAGTCGCCCTTTTTCATGTCATCCCAGGCCTTCCTTTTCACCTAGAGCTGTTGCAGGCTAAGGTGGCGCAGCCATGTGGGGCATTGCAGTGCTATCTTGAGCAGTAAACTCAATCTCAGAGCTACCTTTTTCAAGCTTCGCAACCAAGGGAACTCAGGTACCTGTGCACCCTTGCTATGCCAACTGCTTTCCAGTGAAAGAACTGCTAGACCAGGCTGAAAATGTCCCTGTGATGAAGTTGTCTCTGTCCAAGCAGCTGCAGGCAGTGGTGGCTGCTGAGCATGCTGACCCAGAGCTCTAAGCTCTAACATAGACAATACATGGGGTATTGTCAGTGTCTTTGCACTACGAAGGAAGGTGTCATCCTAATGTCTGTGTTCCTTAGGAGAGGGAATGGGCTCACATCAGTGTGTTTGGGGGTGGGGTGAGGTTGTGTGTTGGTTGGTTGGTTTGTGTGTTTTGGTG